CGTTAACCCTCCGCCGCCAGCAGTGACGCCACCCTACGCGGCCCCAAACCCGCCGCCGCCGGTGATCATCACTCCGCCACCGACTCCACCGGCCGTCAAGCCGCCGCTGCCGCCGGTGGTGACGCCACCCTACACTCTGCCAAACCCACCTGTCCAAGAGCCGCCGTGTCCGCCGCCGGCGAAGCAGCCGACGTGCCCGATAGACGCGCTGAAGCTGGGCGCGTGCGTGGACTTGCTGGGCGGGCTGGTGCACATCGGAATAGGGCAGGGCGGGGCAAAGGACGCGTGTTGCCCGGCGCTGAACGGGCTGGCCGGAGTGGACGCCGGAATATGCCTCTGCACCACCATTAGAGCCAAGCTTTTGAACATTAATATAATTCTGCCCATTGCCCTCCAAGTCCTGGTCAACGACTGTGGCAAGATTCCCCCCGAAGGGTTCCAGTGCCCCGCTTCCTGAGTTTTCGGGTCGGGTCGGGTATTCTATTGTATTTGAACTCGTTCATTCGTCGTCAATTTACATGTTCTTTTTTTTGTTCTCGTTTATGTTATCTTTTTTTTTTTCTTGAATTTTGTGTGGTCTTATTATGCTCCCTTTGGATATCATTGATTATCTTCCCAAAAAACATCCAAGTTTTTATGTGTATTTTTATTTTCTGGGAATGACTTCTAATTAAGTCTCACTAGCATGAGCTCTCAAGTTCATATTATTTGAAATATATAATAGGGAGTCTTTAAAATTAGTGATAGTGTACTCCTTAAGTACATTTTTTCTGTTTGACTGTTAGAATTAAAAGTTTTAGTATTTTGGTAAATGCTAAATTTTATTTTCATAGTCATTATGTTATTAAATTTAAATAGAATCTTTCGGTTTCTCAAAGTAAAGGAACATTCAATCCTAATGTCTAAATGAATACTCCCTCCGTCCCCCAGTTTTTGTCCATTTTTGACTTTTGGAACTGGTCATCTAAGCACTTTGACTCATCAAATTCTCTCAATGTGTAAGTCTAAATATAGTCATGTGTGATCTTGTTTGATTTGTCTTAACATATAGATTATTAATATATAATTTTTATAATTTTTTAATATACAAATTACAAGATAAAATAAATTAAAGAAGTGCATATGATGGTGTGTAAAAATGAAAGTGGATAAATACTCTGGGACGGAGGGAGTAGAATGTACCCTCGAAGTATAATATCACATATTTTAAGAACTTCGGAGTACATTTCGAACAATGTGGGATCTAAAACTTCTTATCCGAAAATCAATGGTACCACATAGTATATTTTAGATAATGTGAGGCCTGTGAGTCATTACCTGAAAATTGAGGGTACCATGAAGTTAGTTTTTGTTTGATTTAGGCACTTCGTTATGGGGTGTGTCCCCGGGGTAGCCGAGCTTCACCATCCCTCACTTCCTCCGTCAAGTTGCTCCACCATGTCGCCTCTACTGTGAAGCCCCCTTACTGGGTGATGACAATCTCGTCGTAGTGACTCTTCTCTATTTTTATTTTTTTTAACCAATCAAAATTTAACACATAATCACTTCAATCAATCAAAATAAGCTATATTTTTACCCTATCACTTTTTGGCCATTCCCTTTTCAAGCCCCATAGCACATAGGAGTAGTTTTTTACTCACACCAAACTGCTTACGAGGCATCTGTGTGACACTCCATCCAAGCCCCCCGTCAAACCCGTCATAACACATGGTCTAAAGACATAAAATAATTCGGCTTTCAGAAACAATTTGGATCCATCATCTTCCAATGATTGAGTCCATGACAGCGGTTCCCATGCAAAGCTTCCAATAATTTTGAAGAATTTTGCTGGTTTTCAATCAATACGTGTAATTTATGAATATTTTTCTATTCGTTTGTTTGCATCTTGTTTCTTGATCATTTCACAAAATAAAATATTTTTGACACTTCATGTAAACAAAACCATTTTAAAAGTGACAAATTCTGTAGGTTAATCAAAAGAGATAATTCATTGTGAGACGCATTGAATAAAAACTCTGAGGGCATTGGATCTCAAAAACTAAAAATACCTCTCCCCTTGAAAGGATCAAACTTTGGATTTTCCTTGTCTGCAACTCTCAAAGTAAGTGGTTTTAAAACAGTCCCTTGATGGTTTAATTATTCTTTGAAAGAACTTTATCTTTTATTCTTTTGACTTTACCAAGTTTTTAAAAATATGTTAAAATTAAGAGCAATGTAATTCAAAATTTATCACTGTATAGATCCAACTGGGTTATTGGTGTTGTATAGAAAATTATAGCCATCCGTCACACCGTCCACAGATCTAACAAGAGGCTTAATTTCTGTGAAAACCTCTTCTGAAAGGAGTTTATTTATTCATTCAACTTTTTTTTTG